GCCCTCCCCCTCGCCGCCGCCTGTCCACCCACAGACCCGCGAAACCGCTCGTTGCCGTACCACCGGAGCCCACCCTACGTACCCGACTCCCCCATTACCCGGCCGCCTCCAATCCTCCCTTTCTCTCGCCATCCCTCGTGCCTGCCGGCCCGACTCCTCTTCGCTTTGCGCGACTATGCTCTCTCGGTTCTCTTCTCTCTTCCGTCCCCGTTGCGGCCTCTCCGCCTCCCTTTTCTCCCCTTCCTCTACCTTGCCATACTGCCTCGCGACGCCCGGCGTCACCCCCTTCGGGTAACCAGCACACCCGAAAGCCGCGCGCGCTGTGTGGAATACGACAGGCAGCTCCACGATTATCTTTCGTCCGATCGTATGTCGCGCGTGTATGCGTGTGTATGCGAGAGGAGACGAGAAAAGGGACGCGAGCGCGCGCGCGCGAAACAGAGAAAAAGGATGATGCGTGCGAGAGGACGGCGATTTAGAAGGAATATAATGGAACGAAATAGAATGGAAATTGTCCCCGATGTTCTCGAGAAACACGACGGAAAAAAATAGAACAATTTTTTCGCGCTTCTTTATCTCATCGTACGTACAATGCTATATAATTCGCGAAGAGAAGAATCGCGCGCGAAGAAGGAAAGAACAATTAAGTCTGAGACATTGAAGCGAGATCTGTCTACTTCTGAAAACAGAGAAAACAAATCGGATCTTGTGATTTACAGATGATTTGAAATTTTGATGATAATTGTATTGCACGATTCGAGATTTCAATCATTTTTTTTTTTTATTTTTTATATACGTTTTATGTTCTTGTTGATCCCCGTGGGTTTCGACGATCACGAGGATCTGTTGTCGTTGTTCTCAACGATATATCCGAGGTACTTTGTACGTCGGACCCGTAGGATCCTTCACACGCTTCAGCGGGAGGAAGGCGATGCGACGCGATATCGAGGAGCGGTTTCCAGGAAGGAGAGCGCGCTCGTAGATCCCTCCGATATTCAGAGGAAAAAGGGATTGTGTGACTGTCTCTCTCTCTCTCTCTCACTCTTTTTCGCGCGCGCGCGAGCGCTCCGACCGCTTTGTGCCGAGAACGCCCTTCGGCTAGGGCGAGGTTCCTGTTTTGCAGTGATTTCTCGAATCGATCGCTTCCTTACATTCAGCGAGCGATTTCATGACGCGACGCGGCCTGAGATCTGACCTCAAACACCGATGTGTGAAAAAAAAAAAAAAATAAATATCGCTCGATCGAAATGAGGATTAAATTACGTTTGGTGGATAATTCAATTTTTATTGATTTAGTTTGTCGCGACTGGCATAAACATTTTCGGTAAAACATTTTCATTTGTTTCACCGGCTGTGTTGTAGTGTGGTGGTGTGTATTATTCAACAAAAATAACGCACTGCGTTTATTATTGCGCGTCACAGACATTGACAAAATAAATTTGCGAAGATGGCACACAAAATAAATTAAAAGTGTTTTCCTCGTTTAATGAGAATTCTGGCTGTATATGTACGTGTGTGTATATATATATATACAATATATACACACTTATTTGACAATTTACATAATATATGCAGATAACGTCTCACGAGCGTAATTTATACGCTCACGTGCGTACACCACTGAAATGTGTGTATCTTCAACGTTTATAACCACTCGCGCGAAACAAACATAAGTATTCGCGAGACGCTTTCGAGGCAAAAGCAGTTTGCATTTCGATTTGAAGCACGCACACACACACGCGCGCGCACACACGTGTAATTATATTTATTACGTAATTTAGTTTAGCGAAAAGTAGGTCAACGCGTATTTGAGTCTGATGCTTTTCCACACGTTTGTCAATGTGCGAAAGCACAAACAAACGCGAACGTGCACGGGCGATATACGTAGGTTTTTAACGTGGACGTTCACGCGCTCTACAGATAAACTCTCGTCGAACAATTTTATATCTGGAAATTAATTTTATGCAAACACATTGTATGTAAATACATTGCTGTTATCTTCGTTTTTCCTGTTCCTCGCGTAATATTAACTGTGCATTTTGTTCGGTAACGTATCGGTTCGTTTTACACGTTTGATTCGCGCGCGCGCGCGCGCGATGATGATGACGATGACTTACGCGCGCTATATAGTTACTTTTCGCGCCGTTCGAGCGCTACCGTGTCCGAGCCGAGAATTTCCGACGATCGGATTTCCGTTGCTTCTTTGTGTGTGCATATAAACGTGAAAAATAGTAATTCTACTCGGATCCTGCGCGCGTTCAGAGAACTTGATAACAAAATAACCGGTCAAAAGGGGAATTATTGCAAAGTGCGCTCTGTTTGCGAAATAAAGATCACTGATGTATACTCGACGATGAATAAACGAAACGGGGATACCGCATGTGTGACACATAATCGAACGATGCACAACGCACATCCGTGTGTGTTTTGTCCGCATGATTGCGTGCGATGCGCACCGTCATTGCGACTCAACTTAAATCGCAACGATTACGCTTCGCATCTTCCGGTTGTTGATTTTTTTTCTCTCTTTTCTTACAGGTGAACCCTCCCCGAGTGAACCAAGGATCACAACCGATCTCACCATCGATCTTGCTGCGTCACTGGATATGTCGCGATGGGGTTCGAGATAGAAAATAGGTAAGTAATCAAATCCCGTAAATCATTTGCATGAAACTGCGAAGGCGATTATGTTGTTTATATCGACTTATGCGAGAGAGTTTGCAAATTTGGGGACGATACCAATTGATACAATTTGGCGTCGCAAATTGATTCTAGTTTGTTTTTCGATGACGATTTAAACAGAAAAAAAATAGAGGGAAAAATAAAGCGCAATTTTTTTTTTTTTTTTTTTTTCATCGAATGATTGAAACGACGTAAATGAGTGCGAAACGGTATTACCATTGAGTTATTTCGTAAAACGCTCTGCCGCACGGAACATTAAATACACGGAAATGTGATACGCTTAAATTACGAGTGTTTGAAACGACGTGAATGATAAATAAAACGAAATTTACACGAACGCGCGTGTTTTTGTATCATCCGATTACTTTTATACGGATAGTTTTCCGCGCAAGCGGCGTTTGACCATTATAAAATCTTCGAACCGATTTTTTTTTCCTCCTCGGTGCGGTGGCGCAGAGTTGCGGAACAGAGGGGGCTTTTTATTATCCTCGTTCTTCTCTGTGTTTTATCCTGCGCGTGGCAGACCCGGGATTCCGGAATTTTGTGGATTTCGGGGGGGGGGGAGGGTTACGGCGGTTCACGTTATCGGTAGTGGCTTTCGAGCCGAACAGTGTATTCAATCGAATCGCAACTATACCTGTAGTTGCTATAGCGATGTTCTATTCCGATCTGCATGACGAAAGAGAGAGAGGGAGAGAGAGAGAGAAATTCGCGAATAACGAAAATTGATAGCATTCTTAGAGCGTTTGATATATACGGAAAAAAAATATCATCACGTAAAGAGAAGACCAGAGACAAATAATTCACTGGAAAATTGCTTCTTTACTGTTGGTTTGATTAGCAATAAAAGTTTGTCGTGATGTATTTTCGCGGTGTGAGATTAGTTTTCTTTTTTTTTGTTTTTGTTTTTTTATTTTTTGGTTTTAATTAATATAGGAATATTGTTTTGAAATTTGCGACGCGCAAATGGATTATCGAGCTGAGGTTCGTCTGAATCGCGAAAATTTCAAATCTTTCGGATTTACAATCAAGCAATATTCAGAAGAGCTCGCTTGTTATCGATACACAACGGTTTTCGGGCCGATAACGTGAATATTGGAGAGTACTGTGTGTGTAGTGTTTTCTATGGAACGAGTGGCATCCGGCGTGACGTAAAATTCACATCGCGATGGTACAAATTTCGTCTGACGCGGATGTCGAAAGTGCGATTTGTTCGACGTGCGCAACGCACATTTCGAAAAATAGTATTATATAGAACTTTAATTATACTGTAATTGCCTATTACCGGAAATCGCTTAGCACTTTATTAAAATAACTTGGCGTTATAAATTGAGTACTTCGCAGAGAGCGAGAGAGTACTTTATTATATTAATACAACGTAATTTTATTGCGCGGCTACGCAAATCGTTCGCGTCACATAAAGTTAAATAATTAGAAATGTGTGTCCAAATGATTTAAGGATTATTACTTGTAATTAATTTTTTTTATTAACTAAATACATTTCACGTTGCATGTGTGCGCATATTCGCGTGTGAAATTTTCGCGTTGCGCATTGCACGTTGTATCGATTTGAAAAAAAAAAAAAAAAAAAAAAAAAAAAAAAAAAAAAAAAAAAAAAAAAAGTTCTCGCTTAACCTACAAGTAAAGTTTTATATTTGGCACGTGGTGGACTGAAAAAAAAAAAATCGTAAAAAACCTGAAATATCTATCTACACAGTAAAGTTTTTCGTCGACAAATCTATCTCTGGAAAACTACGCGATGGCCGATAGGACATGTTTTCCACGTGGAGACCATCTCCAAACCGTGTTTCCGCGTATATTTCAACGCCTCGATACAACGTATATGATGCAATTTAGTTATTTTTGAAAATAACTAGCGTGTCAACGTGTAAACGATTTTTTTAAACCTTTGAACTTTTTCCGCTTATTTTTATCCGAAAGCGCGATCTAAAAAGCGATATCTTGAGATCTCGGTTCACGTTTTAACGATTCTCCACTCTCTGAAAACCTTATCTCGGTTACATTTTTAGACCAGAACTCGGCTATTCCTGAACGCTTATGTGGTATGACCGATGTACACGACGGATGTACCTATTCAAATATCTGGGATTAACGTTCTCTCATTATCTTATCATCGAGTGTTCGTGACATCGTTCTCAGATCTACTTTCGATTCGTGCAAAACGCGTTGTTGCTCAAATATACCAACGCGATTCGTCCAAGACAACGACAATATATAGGCGTGTCAAACTTCGGATCGAATAAATCGTCGACGACGATGACGTCAACGGACAATTCTGTCTCTTACCGCATACACGTAGATATACGTGTGGTCGCAGATTGCAACGCGCGCGCGCGTGCACGCAACGAGCACCTTGCTATGGGAACTCGTCGTCTCTCGGACGGAGTGAGTCAACCCGCCTCGGCGGTACGTTTCCTCGCGACGATGATCGAAACAACCCACGCGCGCTTTCTGCCTGCGCCCGGCGTAGTTTTCCTCGCCTCCGTCGTGCGTCAAATCGCGCATTACAAAACTCGCGCCGCGTTACGTAGGCCGATTGGTGGTGGTAAAATATCGCCGATACGCGCCAAGGTAGAGATACGCTCGTTATATTTCATCAGATGATGAATAAAGACGCGAAAGTTTCTCACGCGATGATCTCGCTCATTCTCGCGAGAATTTCTTCAATCTCGTGATGTGTGTGTGTGTATGTTTTTAAAACATCCCGAAACGCGCGCGCCGAGGAATTGTCGCGAAGAATAAAAAAAACGGCGCGAACCGTTTTCTCATTTCGCGAGACACGGCGTAGAAGAAAAGTTTGCGGAGGTAGAGAAAAATGCAGTTTTATACGAGTCACATATGTATGTATACTCTATTGTGTACCGCGTGGGAGAGAAAGGAGGAGGGAGGATTCTATCTTTAAGGATATAAGGGGATGCATTAAGTCAAACTTCCGCTTTTACGCGCGGTGTTACAAGTTCACGTGCGGGGCGGGTCTTCTTTATCGCGCTCGATCTTCGATCGCTTCTTTGCAAACGCGTACCTATTCCGTTGTTTCTTGCTTTTCGTGCGTGTTAAAGCAAATTTGCAGTAGCGAAAGTTTCAACAGGAGAAAGACAAATCTCTCTCTCTCTCTCTCACCTTGTGTACTTTCCGCATCGGTGTATTACAACGCGTCATGTAAATATTGATATACGAATGCGTCTCTCGATACAAGTGAGCGCTTATCTCGCAAAATCGATAGCTCTGTTCTTCCGACAGTTGCGCGAGTCAATATCGTCGATGACTACGGCGCGACGTTAATTTAAAAGAGAACACGGATCGGATTCTTTCTCCGTTACAAGAATCCGTGTCAATGCGCGCGCGAGAATGAATGTATCTCGATAATAAACGATGTACGCAATAATATAGGTGCACATGCGTACGCACACACGCGCGCGCGTTACGCTGGCGCTGGACAACGTTTGATTTACAGTACCGCGCGTTCTACATTGTTATTTATTCGACATCTATGCAAATTTTATTGTTCTTGCTCTTTGTTCGGTCAGCGCACTCGCTCGGAACTTCTCTCTGGATTCTCGCGCGCGGTTGAATGGATTTTTGAAATTCGCGCGTATATATCGTTACATTCCCCTCCGGTCGAACGGAACGCGTCATCGATCACTTGCGTGTTTTTGGGGAATATCCGCGCGAAATGAATCCGCGCGGCCGCGATTCGATGACTCACGAGAGATCTCGTACGTACGTCGCGACGACGTGTCGCAAGACTCAACGAGATATTTTACGAGAGAACACTCAGCGACGTGACATTTTACGGATTTTTCTCTGTCACGGATGTAATTAGTTAATCAATAATTGCAATGTAAAAAAAATACAAAAAAAAACGTATCTGCATTTCATGAGTCGACGGAAACGATACGTTCGAAGAAATACACTATATCGTAGCATTGCTTCAGGCAATTGTTTTTTTTTTTTTACAATATATAAATCTGAAACGTTAATGCGCGATTTATGCGTAACGCTGTGAACAAGCGCGATTCCGAAAAAAATATTGCCACGTGTCTTTCTTTCTCTCTCTCTCTCTCTCTTTATCACTCTCGACGTAATTAAATATCTTGTCGCACAGTTGGTGAGTTGAGCCGATTAAAACGGATGTCGTCTCGCGGAACGGAATAACGTTTCAAAACTGCGCGCTGCCGTCGCGAATTTCGCTGAAGCACACACGTGTCCGTTATATTGAAACGTACGGCAAGAGAATATTACGCGTCTTTGCGCGCGTTATACACGGTCATGTTGAAACACTTGACTTGAAGTTCACTTTCGCACTTAAATCGCACGTTAATCGAAAATTTAGTTTTTATTAGAGACGAACGGATATATAATTTGTGCGGTCGATTATCACGCGTCGATTGGCGCGTTACCCTCACATCGTCGATTCTCTCGTGTCCGTAGTTTGTAAACTTGCTACGCACACGTACGTATCTGTCGCGCAAAAATTATTCTTTTACGATCGGCAACGTTGGATATAAATTTATCGCGTTGTCTAATCGAGCGTTTCGTCGCGCGAAACGTTTCTCATGAATAAAGAAACTTTACAACACAACCGCGGGGGTTGAAATTATCCTCGTTGACGCGAAACTCTCTCCGTGACGTGCGACACAACGGCGTAACAGAAATTTGGACTGTAAAGGGTTAATTGCCGACACGACACGCGCGCGGCGCATTTACCACGTGTTACCGCGATGCATTCTCCAGCAACATCCGGCGTTAATCCTCTTCGCGCGTCTCGGAAGTGGGCAAGTGCTTCATAATAAACGGGAGAGGGAGGAAGGAACGAATTGAGTTCGAAGTTATACTCAATCGGGGAAGTAAGACGTCGCGGCGCGTCGTAACTTCGGCGGTTTTCTTGTTTCAAAACAGCGAAATTTTGAATATTACGTTTCGTTTAACATAGA